CGAGTTCAGCCCTTTTGATTTTCTGACTCCAACTCCTTGCACATTTCATTATAATAGTTTGCTTTGTCATCCCGTGCTGCCTTTTGAAATCTTCTATTCAACTGATGTTAGCGGTACTGAATGATAAACTAAAGAGTGGTAAGATGTTGTCAACAAACAATTATTGGCTTAACTGTTGCACAGCTGTGGGCTATGGAGCTCACTCCGGCTTTAGGTCTTCAGGATGCTAAGTTTGACAGAATTCGGTCCCTTTAAATTCTCGCTAACTACCTAAAGCAGGCGGACGAGTCTGCACATGCGCATTCCTGTGTAAAACTGGCACCTCAGGCAACAGCCTTCCCCCGGTATGCAGACGGAGGTTAAAGGTCCTCCCACACAGGCTTTTCACGCAAGCGTAAATCATGATTGAGAGCACTATGTCATGCCGAGGACCCAGTCCCTTTTTCGCGCTCCAAGGCTCCGCCCCTCACGGCCAATCAGTACGCCTCTCCCTTTGCAATGACCAATGACAGTGAGCTCGGGGGGCGTGGCCGGGCGTCTGGGGGCGCGGCCTGGCGCTGAGAGAAGCGGCGGGGCGAGCCTGGGGCTCCAGTGAACAGCGAAGCCAGAAGAGTATCTCGTGCGAGCGACGATTGGAGGCAGCCCGGGCCCGGCAGTCCCTGAGATGGCACGATGGCTGTGGCCATGGTCGAAGTATATCAAAGAGCGGGCCTGCCGCTACCTGCTGCAACGCTACTTGGGTCAGTTCCTCCAGGAGACTCTCAGCCTGGATCAGCTGAGTCTCGATCTGTACAAGGGCAACGTAGCCCTGAGGGACATCCACCTGGAGACCTGGGTAAGGAGCCAGGGTCCATCCTGGGGGGAGGCACCGGGGAAGGGGGGAATCACAGCGACCCTGAGGCTCCCTGATGATAGGAGCCAGCCCAGAGGACCGGGCTCCGAGGGTGGAGAGGCCGGGGGGGGGGGGGGGGGGGGGGGGGGGGGTCCCTGTCCTTTCACAGGTGTCAGGGTCTCCGACTGGCCTCCCCAGGTCCTGCTCAGATAGCCAGAAGTCGGGCGGGAAGGGGGTCTCCGTCTCCACCTGGGCAGAGAAGAAGCTGAGGTTGGGGAGGGGGTGTCACTTGTCCCGAGTGCCGGAAGAGGCTGGAGTTTAGGTGCTGGAGTGAGGAGGGGGTCGGGGATCGGAGCAGAAAGGTGAAGGCTAGAGCAGGGTTGGCAGGGGTCGGAGCCAGGGGGAGACACCTGTGGGAAAGGTGCCTGACCTCCTGACCCCGCGAGCCTGGCTCCGGGGGTGGGGTTCCCTGCGGATGTGGATGTCAACAAGCGTCAGCGCGCTGTGTTGATCAACTCCTCCTGTGACTGTTGCGCTGGGCTGCTTCCTGCTCGGGCAGAGGGGGCCGGTCCCAGGGCTTAGGGGTGGGGCTTAGGCGTTAGCATCCCGGCCTCGAGGGGGGCTCTCGGGCGGCGGGGAGACCTTGCCTGGGGTCTAGAGGAGGGAGGAGTAGTTGGCGCATCAGGCAGCTTGCGGCTGGGTCAGAGGCCTGGAGTTGAGTTAGTGAGGGGTGGGGACTCATCTGGGTTGTTGCAAAGAAGCCACCAATTAGAGGCCCCAGCTCAGGGCTGGCCGCGACTGGTTCCATCCACCTAGGCAGAGTAGCTGGGGTGGGTGGGCTTGAGGTCAGGAGGCTAGCATTCCTGCCCAGCAGACCAGAGTGGGGTGGGGGTGGGGATTAGGGATGGGGGGTTCAGAAGAGTCACATGGCCACCAAGCGTGAGGGGGCTGTGGCTCTGGGTAGAATGAGGTGGGCTTTGGGGTCCCCTGGCCTTCCCAAGAAAACTGGGCCAAGAGCTCAGGGACCCTGGACCCTCTAAGCTGCAAATTCCAGGGTATGGGAACTTCTCTGACCTTGAACTCTCTTGGGTGGATCTAAGACCCTCCTCGTTCTTCTACACTTCTGCAAAACACTCTCACTGTCCCCCACCCACCCGGCCTGGTGGGCGTTGAATAGAGAAGGAGCTGGCCTGGGTGGGACTCTGTAATCTGCCTCTAGTTGCACTGCCCCATAAAGACCCCAGAAGAAATCAGTGTCTAGACAGCCTGGGGGAAGGGATGAGTCCTGGGTCCTTGCCCTGAGGCCTCAGTTTCCCAGCCTGGATCTAACGGCTGTCATGTGCAGACTGTGTGTTTAGGTTCCACACGCAGAAAGCAGGGACCAGCTAGAGGTTCACAGGTCTGAAGTCAGACCCCTCTCTGACATTCTTGAACTCCCCCACCTCTGCCAGAGTGAGCCTGCCCTGACCCACCCCTCCAGCTGCTGGCTCAGGCTGCCCAGGGCTCTGACCCGGGAATGCAGGTGTTCTGCTCTCGTTAGGTGTCACCATGTCACCAGCAGTACACATGGGGTTGCTGTGGGCCCCATTCTGTGCTGGCCTCACATTCTCAGCTGTGCTTGAGCCCTTTGGTTTTTGGGGTGTTTTGTTGTTTTTTTCCTTACATCAGATGGGTAATGTGCCTGTGCCGGAGCAAGGTTTTAAAGGGTGGCATGTGTCATACAGAAGCGTGAACCCCCGATCATCACAGTCATGAACCGGAAGAGGATCACCCACTGTGTCAGTTTGTCTCCTTGAGGGTTTTCTCTTGCACTGACCCTTTTTTCCCCAGCATGATGTCCTTCTCCAGGGACTGGCCCTCCTGATAACATGCTCGAGCACGTGAACGAAGTGTCAGAAGTCTCACATTCTTGCTTCTAAGGAGCACTCAGGCTGCATGTATTTGCAGACAGATGTGTCTTTTGGCAGTCCGTGATAGAGTCAGCGTTATTGGCCAGCAGCACAATCCAAAGGCATCAGCTCTCCCATCTTTCTTACTCCTTGTCCAACTTTCACATGTGTACAAAGCAATTGTGAATACCATGGCTGGGCCAGGCAAAACCTCAGGCTTCATTTTGACTCATCATGACCCGTTGTTGTTCTTGTTGTTGCTATTGTTTGGTGCTTCTCATAGACGACTCATAGTGACCCTCTGAATGAAAGGCCTGAGCATTGTTCATAGAGTTTCCGGAGGCAAGCCATTTCAGAAGCGGATGCCATTCCTGCTTCCAGGCTTGTTTTAGTCGGGAAGCTCCAGCAAACACTGTCCACCAAGCAAAACTGCCCCAGAAAGGATTTTTTGTTTGATTTTGGTTTTTATTTACTTGAGTGAAAGTTTCCGGATCATATAGTTTTGTTCACTTATACATAGGTGTGCCTGATACATTACTTGCTATGCATCGGAGAGCTGGACAAGGACCAGGGATGATAGGAGAGTTGATGCCTTTGAACTGTGGTGCTGGAGAAGAGCATTGAATAGACCATGGACTGCTAGAACAAAAAACAAGTTTGACCTGGAGGAGGTGAAGTCAGGATGCTCCTTGGAGGCAAGGATCCAAAGCTTTGTGTGACATACTTTGGACATGTTGCAAGGCAGGATCAGTCCTTAGAGAGGGACCTCATGCTTTGGAGGGTAGAAGGACAGTGCAGGAGAGGAAGACCCTCTATGAGGTGGATTGATTCCGTCACTAGGGTAATGGGGATAGGTGTGTCAAGACAATAAGATTGGCAAAGGATAGAGCAGGGTTTAGGGCTGTTGTACGTAGGGTCACTGTGCGTCATAAGCACATAGCAACAACTACCTTGAAATTGCAGGAGTAGAATGGGCAGTCTTCTCCTATACAATTAACTGCCTCTGAAAACCTGCTGGAGGGTCAGATATGAGTTGGTTCACAACAACAACCTTGAGATTAATTAGACCTGAGACATTTGCTGCAGAGTTCAAGGACTGCAGTCTTCAATATGGATCGAAGCTCAACATCAAGAAGACAAAGATTCTCCACACTGGGCCAATTGGCAGTTCCATGATAGATGGAGAAGAGATTGAGGTTGTTAACAGCTTCCATTTACTTGGTTTCACAATCAACCCTCTTCGGTACCAACAGCCAGGAAACCAAAAGACTAATTGCATTGGGAAAATCTGTTGTCAGGGACCTTGCCCCAGAGTATTGAAGAGCAGAGTTGTCAGTCTGGAGACTAAGGTGTGCCTAATCTAGGCCATGGTTTTTGCAATTACTTGCTATACATCAGAAATCTTGACAATAATTAGTGGTAATAATTAGATGATAGGAGGAGAATTGATGCCTTTGAGCCGTGGTGCTGGAGAAGAGTGTTGAATATACCATGGACTGCTAGGAGAACAAACAGGTTCATCCCGGAGAGGGTGAGACCAAGCTGCTCCTTGGAGGCAAAGATTCTGAAGTCTGACATACTTTAGGCACGTTGCAAGGAGGGACCAGTCCTTAGAAAGGGACATCATGCTTGGGAAGGTGGCAGGACAGTGTAAGAGAGGAAGACCTTGGATTAGATGGATTGAGTCCTTGACTTAAGTTAATGGGGGTGGATGTGTCGGAGACGATGAGGTTGGCTTAGGACTCTGCTGCACTTACCAGCAACAAGCAGTGAAACTTATGCCCCAGCACTTTACTCTCTCAGGGGGCATCAGTGCTGGGTGGCACTTTGTAGAGTCCTTCACAGCTGACTTGCCCAATGCCGTGCACGCAGGTAGAGACGCCCCTAGGCCCTCAGTGGTCAGCACATGGACGGTGCACAGTATTTCTGAAGTAAATGGTCGGGAGCACTCGTGCTGGCTTGAAGGCTCAGGCTCCCGTGAGGGGTCAACAGGACCAAAGGGAGGTGACGTGGGAGGTAGGAGGAGGGCAGCGGTTTTGGGGCTTCCCAGCTGATGTGCCCTCACCCACTCCCAGTCTGTGAACGAGGTGCTGGAGTCTGTGGAGTCGCCGCTGGAGCTGGTGGAAGGCTTCGTGGAATCCATCGAAGTGGCCGTGCCCTGGGCCTCCCTGCTCACCGACCACTGCATGGTGAACGTGAAGGGCCTCCAGCTCACCCTGAAGCCCCGCCAGGGCTCAGGTCAGGACGGGAGGACAGGCCCAGTGGGAGGAGTAAGTGAGGAGGGGCTTGGGGTCCCAGGAACTGAACCTGAGCCCCTCTCCCCACCCACAGGCTCAGGGGCAGCTGACTCACAGAACTGTGGCTCCTCGTCCATGACCACGAGCCTGCAGATGGCCCAGGAGTGCCTGCGGGATGGCTCGGCAGAGCCCTCGGAACCGCCGCAGCCCCTGGAAGGGCTAGAGGTTTTTGCCCAGACCCTGGAGAGTGGTAAGGGGCCCTGCCTGCACCGTGAGCCCAGGAGCAGGGGCCAGGGCATAGCGATTCCATAGTGCTCCCTTTGACCCTGAAACCACTCTCCCCCACCCCCCTGCAGTGCTGCAAAGGATCAGAGTGGTCTTCCAGGACACCGTCGTGCGGGTGGAGTGCACGCCAGATGGCCAAGAACAAGGCCTGGCACTGGAAGTCCACGTGCAGAGGTGGGCTGGCGCAGGCAGTGGGGGCTGCAGAATGGTTCTGCCCTCACCGCTAGGGAAAGGAGGGCAAATCTGGTGGGGATAGAAGGTTGTGCTATGAACCTGGAGTGGTGGCCAGAGACCTCAGTGACGGTCTGAGGAGCAAGGGCAAGCCTGAGTGCCTGGCAGGGTGCAGGGCCCCAGGATAGCGGGGTGTAAAAGCAGACAGTATTGGGGAGACAGGACACAACTGCACCACACCTCCTCCCGCCCCCCAGATTGGAGTACTGTGACGAGGCCGGGCAGGACCCCAGCCAGGAGCCCCCGATGGATGTGCGCCAGCCTCCTGCCTTCCTCCACAAGCTGCTGCAGCTGGTGGGGGTCCGCCTGTTCTTCATGGAGATCTCCGAGGTGGGAGGCCTGGCACCCAGACCAGAGTCCTTTGCTCCTTCTATTCTGTCCTCTGATCCTTGACCCCTCAGGCTCCCCCATCCCTTCTCATCCGCCATGGCTGCCTCCATCTTTCTGACCCCCCTCCCATGTCCTCTTGCCTCTCAGGAAGATCCCCAAGGCCCCCTTCTACAGATCGGCAGCTTCTCAGGGTACATAGAGTTGACGGTGAAGTTGAAGCAGAATGAAGCCTTTCCTGGCCCCAAGGTACGTCCCTGGGCTCCTGGGAGGAGGACAGGTGACCCATTCTGACACTTGGAGAAACCGAGGCTCAAAGAGGCCAAGTTCGATGGCCAGGATCATGCAGCAACCTGCAGCAGAGCAGGTGGTTGGTAGCTTAGAGGGCCTGGGTGTCATCTGACCGAAGTCACTGTCCCCTTTGTCCTCAGCTGGAGGTGGCTGGACGGCTGGGCTCCCTGCACCTGCTCCTGACTCCCCTGCAGCTCCAGCAGCTCTTGGACCTGCTGCAAGCCATCAACTTCACAGGTGAGGCCTGGGTGCTCCAGGGCTGGGCTGGTAGAGGTAGGCTGGCCAGTGGGACCGATGTGTCCTCTTGCAGACCCCAAGGGCCCACGTGACAAGCTGAGCAAGGGTCGCCCACTGGGCGTCGAGGACATGTGGCTGATTGAGCAAGACCTGAATCAGCAGCTGCAGGCAGGGACGGAGGCCGACTCCGAACTGGAGTCCCTGGATCCTCTTGCCAACCTGGACAGCTCCGGTGGGTGTGGCTGGGGGCTGGGGGAGGGCGGTTAGCCAGAGTGAGCCCCCAGCCCTGACTCTGGCCTCGCCCACAGACCTCTTCTTCTCCATGCCTGGCCTCACGAGCAGTGTGACCTCAGCCATCTCGGAGCTCTCCCTCTCTGACGTGGACCTGGGTTCCTCTGTGCACAGTGCCACAGCCCCCCGCCGCCCCTCAGCCCACACCCGCCCAGCAGGTGAGCCGGGCCCCTCGGGCAGTGGCCCAGGTGACACCCCTACCTGGACGGTTCCCTGGTGATACTCAGGGCAGAACCAGTCACACATGTTGAGACCCAGCTTTCCACTTCCACAAAGGTCCCCTGAGCTCTCTGGACCCCATGGTGTTCTGTTTGATGGGGGTTCTGTCATGTCCAGTCTTCCAAACAACCAGGAGAGGACTGAACCCCTGCAGGGCCAGGTCCCACAGAGCAAGGTGGGGGCAGGGCAGGTTAAGCCAATACAGTCTAGGGGATACCAGGGCTCTTTCCAGCATGGTGTCCAGCCTAGGGTACCTGTGAGCCCGGGGAGCCTTGGGTAAAACCTCTGTCTCCTCAGGCAAGGCGGCCCCCACACCCCTCCCAGACACCCTACGCCCTGACTCGCTGCTGAAGATGACCCTGGGGGGCATTTTGCTGACTGTGCCTCAGACGGCCACCCCAGGAAGCACACCTGACCTCACCACCTGCTTTTTTGCCGAGTTTGACGCCACCAAGGAAGGACCCTGTGACTCCCACCACCTCCGGGGGCGCTTCCGGAAAGCCTGTCCCTGGAGCCACATCCGGTATGAGCCTGCGGCCAGGACCTGAAGAGAGGCACCCACCCCCCCAAGACCCTCCCCACGCCCCCGCCTCTGATGCTTGGTCTTCTGCCCCGCAGGCTGATGGGTGCAGCCATGCAGCTGTCCTGGGAGCTGCGGACAGGGGCCAGGGGCCAGAGGACCACCAGCACAGATGTGTGCTTTGGGCAGCTGGAGGTGCTGGAGTGCCTGTGGCCCCAGGGAGCCCCAGAACCTGAGTTCACAGAAGTGAGGAGCTGGACGCAAGCGGGAGGGGGCAGGACCTAGCCACTCCCAGCCGCAATTGCACTCACTGTCCTGTCCCATCTCAGGTCTTGAGTTTCCCCAGCGTCTGGGGCTCCCAGGACTCCACTCAGCCCTGTGCCCACCTGCGCCACACACAGACCCTGCGTCGCGTGTCGAAGGTGACTAGCCCTCACTCCAGGCCCTACCCTCTGCTCTGCTTTGTCCTTCATGCTTACTCTGCCCAGACTCGGCCTCTTGCGCTGTGGGATCTGATATCTTTCTACAGCCCAGTCATCCTGAATCCTGGGCCTCCTGGCTGCCCTGTCCAGCTGCCCCTTTCCAGAAAGTGTCAATTTAGCAAACCCTGGGAGCACTGACACTTCTTAGTAAATAAACTCAGGGGTCATGTGACTACATCAGCTGGGGTACCTTGGCACTCCCAGCCACCCTAGAGGACCTCTTCCTACCCTGTCCTCACTAACCTGAGCATTCTCACCTGCAGAGCCGACCCCGGCGCCAGCCCACCTACTACTGCCACTCGGAGCTGGTCCTGGAGCTGGCTGACTTCCAGACAGACGTGGAGTTGGGGGCCCTGGAACGGCTCACTACCCTGTTGTGCCAGGCCACATCCACTCAGCCAGACCCTGAGGACTCCGTAGGCCTGATGGTGAGATGCCCAGCAGCGCCAGGCAAGGGTGGGCACAGGCCCTCAACAGAGAAGTGCAGGATGGGGGGCTGGCAGGCAACTCGGACTCACACCTCTACCTTCACGCAGACAGAGCCTCAGCGAGCCCTCGAGCAGCGGACCGTGGTGTGGCTGTCCGCACCCCGGGCCACACTGCGCCTGTACTTCCCCATCGCAGACCTGCGGCCTGAGCGCGACCCCTGGGCTGGCAGGGCTGTGCGGGCCGAGAAGCTGCGCCTGGAGCTGAGTGAGCCCCAGTTCTGGTCGGAGCTGAGCAGCGGGCCAGGCCCCCCTACTTCCACCCGCCTGGAGCTCTCCTGCTCTGACCTGCATGGTAACTCCTCTGGGATCCTGGGTGCCCCTGGGGCACACCGCAGCCTGGGTCCTCACCTGTTCCCTGGGCTGAGGGCAGGCCCAGGTCTATTCTTTTAAGTGGCAAAGTGCACAGGCTTGGTCATCACAGTGAAGGTCTGGCCTTATACCCTCGTGGCCAGGCCTGGGAAGAAGGGCAAAAAGACAGCAGTGTCCACCTTCCTCTGGCCCCCAGGCACCTACGAGGATGGAGAGAAGGCACCTATCCATTGTCTGCGTGTCTCCAAAGCGCTGGATCCCAGGGGCCCTGGACACAAGTACTCTCTGCCCCAGTAAGTGGGCCTCCCCTAGGGGCAGGCGGGAGGGGAGACCCTTCAGACCTGTGACAGACCTGTGCCCTGGCAGGGTAGTAGTGACCTTGAACCCATGGTGCTGCAACACACTGTTGGATCTGGGACTGGATAGGGAGGACCTGGAGGCGACGGAGAACCCCTGCCAGCTGCCGGAGCCCTCGCCCTCGCCCTTCTCTTCCAAGAGGACCATGTACGAGTCTGAGGAGGTGAGGCACCCTGGCCGCCCCGGCCCGGCTCTGCCTGGGAAACCCACAGGTGTGAGCAGGACCACGGCCAGGGAGCGAATTTCTAATGGCAGTTTCCCTGGGAGAGCGAGGTCCTCCGTCAGGACTCTGAGGCTCGTGCCACCTTCACTTTCTGAGGAAGGACACATGGAGGCCTTGGAATCCAGTTTCCTAAAAGAGTTTCAGACTGGACTTGAGCCCAGCTCTGTCACTCTGCAGTTGGGCCATGTTGGAACATTAACTTCTTCGGGCTCAGTTTCTCTGCCTGTAAAGTGGGCACGATTCCCAGCCTGAGGCTGTTGTGAAGATGACAGAATCCCTCAGAACTCCTGTACATGTCCCAGCCCGGGAGGATAGAGTGTAAGCCAGGGCCACCTGGTCCAAAGCCCAGGCCCAGCTCTGCCTCCCAGCCCGCTAATGTTGGGACTCCCCACACCCTTCTAGATGGTGATCCCTGGAGACCCTGAGGAGATGAGAGACTTCCAGCGCCACACCCTGTCCATGTCCCGCTGCAGCGTAGAGGTGACTCTGCCCAGCGCCCACATCTTCCTGCCCAGCAAGGAATTTTATGAGCGCATTTACAACAGGTGAAGCCGAGGGATATAGGGGGAGATCAGCAGCTGGTCTTGGCCTTCCTGACCTCTGTCCCCATGCCACATCTCAGGATCAACAACGACCTGCTCATGTGGGAACCTGCTATCCTCATCCCACCATTTGACCCCTTCGCCTATTCCACTGGCTTTACAAGTCCTTTCAAGAAGTGCAAATCGGCCTTCAAGCTGGGTACGGGGTGCCATGGGGGCCTGGGGGGTCGGGAGCCTTAGCATCTGGAACATCCCGATCTTCCCACTCTGACCTCCATCTCCCCCTACTCAGATTCAGACTCGGAGGACGAAGACTGCCCCTTCTTCTCCGCGGGTGCCTCGGGGGGCGACCGGCCCCGGAGCTCTACCCCTGAGCCTTCAGACCCACACAACCAGAGCGGCTTCACCACACTTGTGACCGTGTTGAAGGGCCGGGTCACTGCCCTGTGTGAGAGCAAGGTGGGCACCCTTCCAGGGGACCCCGGGCCTGCCTCCGGGAGAGGAAGTCCTGGAGCAGGGAGCCCCTTCCATGACATCAGCAGCTCCCAAGGGGCCGTGGAAACATGTCCATCTACCTGTCCCATCCTCAGCCCCATGTGCCCTCCTGCCCACAGTCCACTTAGCAGCACTGTCAACCCAGATCCCATGTGAGCCTCAGTCCCCAATCCCCAGTCCTCAGTTCCCGGGCAGGACACCCTTTTGGGAAAGGTGGTAACTGCCCAGGGCTCCCCTGGACTTTGGGGATGACCCTAGTCAGGCCAGGGCTCTGAAACCCCTTGTAGCCCGAGGGCCAGGCAGCTATCAAGCCAGATGGCCTGATCAGGTGATCTGTCCACAGGGTGAGGATGGGCAGCACCTGGAGGCCAAACACGGGGAGCTGGTTCTGGACGTGGACCACAGCACCCTCTTCTGCGTCTCCCAGCACCTTGGCCAGCCGGGGCTCGGCTATTTCTGTCTGGAAGCCGAGAGAGCCGAGCTGTACCACGCAGGTGTGAGGGCTGGGCTTGGGGGATCCCTCAATCCTGGCACATGACGGCTGGGGGTTGGGGTCTCTGGCAGAGGGGATTTGGGGATGTGTGAGGACGGGATTAGGGATCCCTGGTGGCTGAGGTTAAGTTCCCCAGCAGAGGGGATCTAGGGGCATGTGAGGGTGGGATTAGGGGGTCCCTGATGGAGGGGTTCCTAGAATATGAGGCTGGTCAGCTTGGTGGGTGCTCACCCAGCTCCCTCCCCAGCGGCCGTGGATGACTACCTACTGCCCACTCACCTGGAGCTGCCCAGCGTCATGCCCCCTGCCTACCTGGCCCCCACCATCTACCCCTCGGAGGAAGGGGTCACTGAGCTGGGCTCGTTGGGCCCCAGGGATCAAGGCCGGACCCCCCCCATGCTATCCACTGCTGTGCGCATCCACTTGGACCCTCAGAAGAACGTCAAGGTACAAGGACAGTCACTTCCCCAGAGTGTGACAGGGCTGTGACCCTGTCACCTTGACAGTAACCTTTCCTCCCATCCCCTACCCCCAGGAGTTCCTGGTGACCATGCGATTACACAGAGCCACCCTGCGGCATCGCATGGCGCTACCCGGGCAGAGCTGGTACTCCCAGGTGAGCTCCCCTGGCTGGGAGGCCGCTGGAGGGGCAGAGGCAGGAGCCCTGGGCTCTGTCGTGAGCCGCCGTCCTGGGGGTTGTGGTGCTGGGTGGCAGGTTGGAGCAGGCAGGAGTTAGAAGGGGGTGATCTACCTGCCCCACCCCACAGCTCCTGGAGTTCTTGGACGTGCTGGATGAGCCCGTGCTCGGCTACCTGCCCCCATCTGTCATCACAGTCCTACACGTACACCTGTTCTCCTGTGCCATGGACTACAGGTACCCAGGCCGGGTGGACCGGGGGACCCCCCAAGGAGGTTCGGCTGTAAGGAGCCTGCCTCAGCAGACTGTCACCCTCAGGCCGCTCTACCTCCCTGTGCGAGTCCTCGTCACCGCCGAGACCTTCACGCTGTCCAGCAACATCATCATGGACACCGCCACCTTCCTGCTCAGGTCAGCACCGCCTACTGGCTGCCGCCCTGCTGAGCAGCTGGGGGTGGCCCACCCCTGGAGCTTCCTGGGAGTCACTCACCATCCCTGACTTCCAAGAAGTTCTGGAAGGCGGCAGGAGCCCTCTGAAGAGAGCCGGAGAGTGTTCTCCTTGACAGAACAGAGGCCAGCTCATGCCTGAGGGTTGCCCAGTGGACACAAGGATAAGGGATCTAGAATCGGGCACCTCTGTAGCGTACCGGGAGTTCTTGGGCAACGCACATGGTTAAGTGTACTGTTTCCTTATGCCATAGTCAGGAAACCTCAGAGCAGAGTTGCACACTGATGCATCAAGGTTGCCATGGGCAACAACGCATTGTTGTTCAGGTAACAAACTTGAAGAGAGCCTTCAGGATGGGATGCGGCTGACTGCCGCAGGTGTCCAGGCCTGTGAACCTCCAGGGAGGCGTGGTTCCATCTTTCTCCCATGAGGCGGCTGGCACGTTCTCACCTCTTACTTCTTGGTTAACTGACATGCACTTAAGCTTTGCACCACCTGAGCTCTCTCTGAAGAACCCAAATACCCTCACAGTGTAACCGGAGCCAATAGGGACAGCCCACCCAAAGAGGCCAGTCCTTGGAGGGGGGACATCGCATTTGGAAAGTTGGAGGGTCAACAAAACAGCAGAAGACCCTCAACGAGATGTGTTGACACAGTGACTGCGGCAGCAGAGTGTCAGATAAATAATTAGGGTGGTCCCCAGATAGGACAAGAGTTCAGGTCCGGTGTTCAGGAGCTCGCTGTGAGTTGCACTCAATTCAGCAGCCCAGTGGAGCTGAAGTAAACGGTGGGGAGATGCCGGGATATGAAGTTTAGTGAAATCACCACAAACCTACATGTTAATAAAATAAACCGGCGAGGGAGTGCTTTTACACATCTGTGTGTGGCTGCACGGAAAATCCTGAAAGACAGTTTCCTCAGAATTTGGGGTTAGAGATTGAGTGATTTTCACTTTTCTTGTTGCTACACCCAAAAGTAGCTTGAAGGAGCTCGTTTCAGATCAGTGTTACAATGAGGTTTTAACAGGATGATAAATAATACTATTAAGAAAGGACACTCCCTCCCAGGGCTGTTTTGAGGCCCAGGAGAGGTGGTGGAATTGGGGGTACTTTGGGAACTCAGAGTGCTGCCCAATGCCAAGCCCACATGCACTTAGTATTGACTCTCTACTGTAGACCTGCGTCCTTGGGTACTGGACTGTTATCCCCATTGTATAGATAGGAACACTGAGGTCCGAGAAAGATTGTTGCCATTTCCTGTGGGTTTGGGGCTCCCGTGATTGTTGTAGCCTCTGCCTCTCAGGAATCCCAGTGGGCTGTGGCCCCCGGGCCTCTCTCAACCCTGCTCTCCCACCAGGTTCATCCTTGATGACTCCGCCCTGTACCTGTCCGACAAGTGTCAGATGGAGACCCTGAATCTACGCCGAGGTGGGCAGGACAGGCTGGGTCCCCTTGCCTCTGTGGGGCCCGGTGGCACTCAGAGTCACTGCTGCCCTCACCCAGCAGGTGGCAGGTCCCTCAGCCCCCAGCCGTGGTGCGCACACGAGGCTGTCCCCAACCCTCCCTCCGGTGGCAGGCAGGGGCCAGTGGGCAGTGGCCACGTGGCCCTGAGGAACTTTTTCCTCCCTTCTCCAGACTACATCTGCGTCTTGGATGTTGACCTCCTGGAGCTCGAGATCAAAACCTGGAAGGGAAGCACGGAGGGTAAACTGGTGAGTGGCCCGCCCCTCAGGGCCTTGGAGGCCACCTCTCCCCAGGTGCCTTCTCCTCACTTCCGCCCCCACAGAGGGAAGCAGCAGGCACCGGGGGACACACCACGCTCAGGTCCTCAATGGGCCTGCCTGTGAAGTGGGACAGCAGGCTCTGCCTCGCGGGGCTGTGAAGCGGAAGCCTCACTTTGACTCAGCTGTTCATTTGTTCTTGGGTGGAGGGAGGCCTGTGGGATGCACGCCTGGGAGGGAGGGGCGGCCCTGACGCCCCCCACCCGCCCTCCACAGAGCCAGCCGCTGTTCGAGCTGCGCTGCGCCAGCAACGTGGTGCACATGCACAGCTGTGCCGACTCCTGCGCGCTGCTGGTCAACCTGCTCCAGTACATAACGAGGGAGGGCGACCTGCATCCCCCACCCCGGCCCCCCAGCCCCACGGAGATCGCCGGCCAGAAGGTACAGGTGAGGCCTGGCCGCACAGGTGCCAGAGCTTGGACAGGCCCCCTTCCCTGGCAGGGGGAGCCCCGGGGGTGTCCCTGCCGAGTGCCACTCACTGCTCTCTCCTCCCGCCGGCCCAGCTCTCTGAGAGTCCTGCCTCCCTGCCTCCTGGCCCTCCTGTGGAGACCGCCCTCATCAACCAGGGGGACCTGACTGATGCCCTCCTGGACTCGGGGCGCAGCCCACAGGAGCTGGCCCAGCCATCAGGTAGGTGCTGTGTACAAGGGGTCCAGTGGACATGGGAGCTCCACACTTCCCCTCCTCCCAATACTGACTTGTCTCCCATAGGTCGCCCCCTTCCTCAAGGCTCCCCTGTATCCGTCTACCTGTTCCCTGGGGAACGGGGCAGCACGCAACCCTCTCAGCAGTGGGCCAGGGCCTTTGCTGGCTGCCTCCGGCCAGAGGAAAAGGACCAGCAGTCAGAGGGGGACACCCAGGACAGTGATGAGTTCTGTATCCTCGAAGCCCCTGGCATGGGCATCCTGGTATGTGGGGTAGGGCCCCCTAGAGCTCTCTGAAGTAGGGGGGGCAGCAGCCCATCACCACCTGGGGGATACCGGGCCCACAGTGTGGTGACAAGGGGCTTTCTAGGAAGGGCTGGCATTGAGCAAAGGGATGTGGAGGACAGTGTGGGGCTGGTGACAGGGTGAGAAGTACCCAGGTGCTGACCTCCGACACCTGGCACCAGTGAGGAGCATGCCGACCCCTCCCCTGGGGGCAGGGGTGAGAACAGGAGCGAGGCTCTGCCGATGGTGGCCCAGGAGGGCCATCCCATGTCAGAAACTGAGACACTGACGGGGCTGACCACCACTTCCTGCCCACCCTTCCCCACAGCCCCGAGACGGAGAGCCGGTGGTGAGGCAGCTGCATCCAGGCCCCATCATCATCCACGACGGCCACTTCTCCCGGCCAGTGGGCAGTACAGACCTGCTGCGGGCACCCGCCCGCTTCCCTGTGCCCAGCAGCCGTGTGGTGCTGCGCGAGATCTCCCTAGTCTGGCATCTCTACGGTGGCCGAGACTTTGGCCCCCACCATGGCCGCAGGTAAGGGAGGGGCTGGGCTGCAGTTGGTCCCAGTGGTGATGGGGCTCTGCCTACCTCACGGGAGGGCCTGCAGCAGCCTGGGCCTAGGGCACTTGTCTCCGACAGAATCCCCCAGCTACACCCAGACTGGAGGGGGAGGAAGGGGCTCCTCTGTGTCAGCTCTCACCTATTTTTCTTCTTAGGCTGAAAGCCAACCTCTCCGGCCCCAGGAGCTCCCCGTCCCGCTGCTCCGGCCCCAACCGGCCCCAGAACTCGTGGCGACTGCAGGGGGGCACCGGGAGGCAGCACAACGTCCTCATGGAGATCCAGCTTAGCAAGGTGAGCCCCGCGGAGACCGGAGAGCCACAGACACACGCGGTGGCCGCGTGCCTTCACCGTGCTGGGGACGAACGCCATCGGCCTCATGCCCAGTGGGATGAGTGCGTGATGGGAGAGGGGCTGAAGCAGAGATGGGCCCCAGGAGGGTGCAGACCTGGGCGAGGTTCCACCTGAGCAAAGGCTGAAGAGCTGAGGGTGCAAAGCTGAGTTCTGGAGGCAGAGACCCAGCATGGGAGCCTTTCCCCCCAGAAGCTGAGGGAGGGAAGGGAGGTCAGAGTTGGGGGCACGGAAGGTGAGTTGTGCCCACAGTCCCAGATGTTTTGGCTTTCCTGAGTGAGGTGGGGGCTGTGGGGAGCCGGAGGGTCTGCTCTTTGCTGTGGTCCAACCTGAGTTCTCGGGTGTCTGCAGCTGCCAGAAGGGCAAAGGCTGATGTGGCCACGGAGTTGGGGGCTTGGCAGGTTGGGAAGAACTATGTGAGCAACCAGGGAGCCAGCGAGGTTTCCAACTGAGAAAGGAGCAGGCAGGAACCACCTACGACCCCTGCCCAGGCTGCCTCATGCAGGCCACCCAGGAGGCAGGAGGCAGAGGCCTGGAGAGGGGGTGAGGGCACCAGCAGAGGATGGGCAGGGAGAGGCGGGCTGAGGGCTCTGGACACCTCTGCAGTGGGGTCCTGTGTGGCTTCACTGCGTCCAGGTGGCCAGAGGGCAGGTGCGAGAAGTTTGGTGCAAGCAGAGCTGGCAAACATGGCCAGGGGTTGGTCGGAGCCCAAGGGAGGAGCAGGTTGTTCTGTGGGCGTGGGGACAGGTGAGAAGTCACAGCCTTGCCGTGGGATCACACGGATGTGCACAGGAAGACTCCCACCCCCAGCTCAGACCTCTGCGTCCCCCCAGGTGAGCTTCCAGCACGAGGTATACCCCGTGGAGGCCGACCCCAACCTAGAGGAGCAGCCGCTGTCCCGCCAGGTGTTTGTGGTGCAGGAGCTGGAGGTGCGTGACCGCCTGGCGACGTCCAAGATCAACAAGTTCCTGTACCTGTACGCCAGCGAGCGCATGCCGCGGCGCACCCACTCCAACATGGTACGGCCGCGGGTGTCCTCCCAGGAGGTGGGCGGGGGGCCGCTGCGCACCCACTCCAACATGGTACGGCCACAGGGGGCCACCCTGGTCTGCAGGACAAAAGGGGACCCACCTGCTGCTTTTCCCGCCCCAGCTCACCATCAAAGCGCTGCATGTGGCCCCCACAGCCAGCCTGGAGGACCCCGAGTGCTGCCTCCGGGTGTCCTTGATGCCCCTGCGGCTCAACGTGGATCAGGTGAGTGGGCAGAGCAGGCAGAACCCCAAGAGACCCCCGTCTCTGAGCTTGAGCTTGAGCCTGACCCGTTGCCACCCCCTCCCCCATAGGACGCCCTCTTCTTCCTCAAGGACTTCTTCAGCAACGTGGCAGCTGGCATCAACCCCATGGTGCCTGCAGAGAGTGACCAGACAGGTGCGGAGGGGAGGGCTCGGGCCTCCTGCCCTCTCGGCCCTGGGCTCACCCAGCCCCGGTCCCATCTCGTTTCTGTGACCTCCCCACAGCTTACCCCAAGGTCTACGTCCAGCCCAGAAGCTCCCAGGACGGGCAGCCCAAGGCTGCAGGGGCGGAAAACCCGCAGAAGGCCTCGGGCAGCAGCCGCAGAAACTCATACTCAGAGCAGCAGCCCATCTACTTCAGGTGGGCCGAGGACCCCCGGGGTTGGAGTGCCAGGCAGGGGTGCTGGGCAGCGGGGCTGACAAGGACCCTTCTCCCCCCAGGGAGTTCCGCTTCACCTCTGAGGTGCCCATCTGGCTGGATTACCACGGCAAGCACGTCACCATGGACCAGGTGGTTAGTAGGGTGGCCGGCCTGGGTGGGGCCCAGCAGGCTCCCTGGTAGACCCTAAGCAGGGTTGGTCACCCCAGATGTGTCAGGGCCACTCTGAGCCAAGGCTGGGGACCACACCGTGCCTGTCTCCTGTGGCGCCCTGTGGGCCAAGGTCCCCATCCCCATGATGTCCCCCGTGGCCCTCTTCCACAGGGCACGTTTGCGGGTCTCCTCATCGGCCTGGCCCAGCTCAACTGCTCCGAGCTGAAGTTGAAGCGACTGTGCTGCCGGCAGGGGTACGTCCCCACCTCACCCCAGGGTCTCCTCAGGGCCCCCGTCCTTCCTCTGCCTTCCTGCCTGCCTCTGTGTCCGTGGTCAGGGCGCCACCTGTCCCTCATCCCTGTGCTGCCGCTGAGTGGAGCTGTGGGGTCTCCTGACTCGTCCCCTTCTCACTAGGCTCCTGGGCGTGGACAAGGTGGTGGGCTACGCCATCAATGAGTGGCTGCAGGACATCCGCAAGAACCAGCTCCCTGGCCTGCTGGTGGGCGTGGGCCCCATGCATTCGGTCGTCCAGCTCTGTAAGTGAAGCATCCAGGAAGCTGTCTAGAAGCGGTCACAGGGAGTGGCTGGGAGATCCCGGAGCAGGGGCAGTGGGCAGCCGTTTCTGACAGCCTGTCTCTGCCCCAGTTCAAGGCTTCCGGGACCTCCTGTGGCTGCCCATTGAACAGTACCGCAAGGACGGGCGCCTCATTCGGGGGCTGCAGCGAGGGGCCGCTTCCTTTGGCTCATCCACGGCCTCCGCCGCCCTGGAACTCAGCAACCGCCTGGTACAGGCCATCCAGGTGAGAGGGCACCGGGCCAGGCGGACCCCACTCCATCCAGAGATGCGGGGCGGGGAGGATGCAGCCACAGAGCAGTGGCCAGCGTGAGTCCGAGCCAGGCCAGGGTGAGCCTGCAGGTCTCAGCTCCTGAGCCGGGTCACCCCCTGGGTGAGCCACACGAGACCCTGCTCACAACTGTCCTTGTGCAGGCCAGGGGCACAACTCCAAACCCACCAGAAAGCCCTGGTTCATTCATGCACACCCAGAAGGGTCCTGGGGGTTCTCGGGGCACTGTGCTAAATCCCAAAGGATGGTGCTCCTCAGGTGGACGCGAGGGCACAGAAAGGCAGCACGGTGCATGCTGGAACTTGCAAGTCAGTGGGGTGCAGGCTCACCAGAGACAAGGTTGGGGGGTGAACAGCCAGAGTTTCCTGAGGGTCACATGTGGGGATAGAGAGGACAGAGGAGTATAGGACAGGAGGAGGAGGCTCTCAGGGAGTTGGGGGGTTGTTGAGTCCAGGGCTCTGCTGGGACCACCCACAAGCCAGCCAGGGGAGGGCCAGACGCTAGTGTGATCTCTGACCTGCCTGGTGGGGCCTTGAGGACGGATGTCTGAGCAGGACCTCACAGCTGTGGGAGGTTCCAGATGAGGCTTGGCCTGACTGGGGTCCGGTTCTGACCCTTTAGACTGGCTCTCCTCACCCCGTGTCCCTCATCCCCCTACCCCACCAGGCCACAGCCGAGACAGTGTACGACATCCTGTCCCCCACGGCCCCCATCTCCCGCGCCCTGCAGAACAAACGCTCTTCAAGGAAGCTGCGCAAAGGCCAGCAGCCCGCTGACCTCCGGGAGGGTGTGGTCAAGGCCTACGACACAGTTCGCGAGGTAGCCCTCCCCCCTGACCCCCACCTTTTCTCTCCCAGCTCCCCCGTCCCCTGGGCACATTGTCCACTGACCTCTGACCCCCGCAGGGCATCCTGGACACGGCTCAGACGATCTGTGACGTGGCATCGAGAGGCCACGAGCAGAAGGGACTGACGGGCGCCGTGGGAGGCGTCATTCGCCAGCTGCCGCCCACCGTAGTGAGGCCCCTCATCTTGGCCACGGAGGCCACATCCAACCTGCTGGGGGGCATGCGTAACCAGATCCTCCCGGACGCCCACAAGGACCACACCCTCAAGTGGCGCTCCGAGGAGACCCAAGACTGAGCCGGGCATCGGGAGCCACGGCCACCACACTCGCTGGCCCTGGGGGGCCACCACTCCTGTGCCTCCCACACACGGGGCCCACCACCGGGCTGGCCCCTCAGAGGACAGAACCCGGTGCCAATCGCTGTGAGGTGGGGCCGCCCGCCCTGGGGCCCAGGCCCCATCTCTGCACTTTTTCTGGGGTGGGGAGGGAAAGGACATAACCCCCCCACCACCACCACCTGGGTCCACACTGCTGCCTTGTCCCCAGACGGAGGCTCTCAGACCCTCGGACGTTCAGACCTGACCCCACACAGCCAAGTGTCTTTCTGTGTCTCTGGGGGTGGCAGGGAACAGACACTGTGTGGTTCAGTGTATTATTTTTAAGCTCCTTGAGCAGGCAGGTTACTGTGTCTGCATGAAGTGGAATAAACTGTGCCCCCTGCCAACTCCATCCTGTGGGCAGCCTGGCCTCTGTCCGCCCAGCTTCATCTGACCACAACGCCCATCTCACCGCCAGGGGGCGCCACACCCTCCTGGTTTGGCCAGCAGGCCCTGGCCCTGTGACCCTGCTCTCTAAACCTTGGGACCCCTAAGGGAGCTCTGGTGGCCTAGTGGCAAGACGCTGCACTGCAATCCCAGAGGGATGTGGTTCAAATCCACCAGATGCTCTGCTGGAGAAGGAGGGGACAACCTCCTCCTGTACCAGTCAGATCTGATTTGACGGTACACATAAAAATAATACAATAAAAGTTAAAAAAAAAAAACACACAAAAAACCTTGGGGCCCCTGTGACTCTGCTCTCAAAACCCATACCCCCAAGTCAGCCGACTTCTGCAGGGCTGCTCCTCTAAGAGAAGGCCTCTGACCCTCAGTTCCCATTCTATCCTGGAGTTCCATCTCTGTGCCACTGGAATGGGACAGAAGCAGTACTGTCCTGGGGCTGGAAGGGGTCCTCGCCACCAGAAATGTCTGTTCAAGATTCCTGCTGTGTCCCCACCACACACACACAGAGAGAGAGAGAGGAGCTCTGGCACCAAGAGAATAGAGGACAGGCACCCCCGAGAGGGGGCCGGGGTACTTCTGCGAACCTGCCCCACCCTTAGGGCCACAGTCCAGGGTTCCTGCCCTTCGCCCGCTCTTGTGATCAGTATTGACCGCTGGGGTAATCATTAACCACCCCGGGGCCGGGCCAACGGCTCAAAAGGCAACTGGGCCCAGGGGTACCCCACTTCCTCCTCATGCCCCAGAGCTAGCCAGGATCCAGGTAAGAGCCATCCCCTCTGCCCCATGCTCTTGAGCCCAGTGCCAGGCCCCCCAGCCATTATCTGCAGAGTCACTAGCCCTCCTGAGGAAGATAGCCACAGTGGGACCAGTCAGCCCTGTCCTGACGGCCTCAGTTTCCCCTCTGGGCCGGGGCAGCAGCCCTTGATACAGCATTTAGGAACTGGGCTTCTGAGTGTCCACTCTCTCTGGCATATTTCTTACACCCTAGACAGCTCCTGTCCTCAGTGGCAGAGATGGGAGGGCCAACTGCAATGGGGTGGGGTGGGGGGGTTTCAGAGCTTGGCCACCTTTGTGCATTCAGGGACTCCTCATTCACAGCTGGTGCATCCAGAGAAGAGCTCTTCAGGAAGGCTTTCCAGGCAGCTACTGTGTGACCATGGGCAGTCTCCTTTGCCTCTCTGAACCTTTTGCTACCTGTGGACCTGGTTCCACTCTAGACGTTCCTTCCTTCTCCAAAAGTGCCCCAGCACCCCCACCTTGGGTCCAGGCAGGCCCCAGCACTGAGCCTGTGACCAAAGCCTGACTGGTCTCTCCAGTCCGTGGGCCGCTCAACTCCAGCCAGGTCCAAGGGCTCATGAACCCTGATTTACATAAGGCACTTGTAGCAGCTCAGAGAGGTTAAGCTACTTGCTCAAGGGTCGCCCAGTTCCCAGGCCCTGGCTGTGTTCCTCCTGCCAGGCGGCAGTGAAACTTCCCGAGAACTGCCGTCAGAGTCTGCAAGTTCCTGTTCCACATGACCATCTGTCTGCCCCCATCGCCCTTCTCCTTTATTATCCCCCTTTGTCCCCTCTTTTCTGTCTCCTCTCCCGCTTCTTTGATGGGACAATCATGAAACTGGACATTGTGGGGTCCCTTAAAGGAGCCCTGGTAGTACAATGGTTAGAACACTCCTCTGTTAATGGAGAAGCTAGTGGTTCCCACCGTGAGCTGTTCGTAGAGAAAGATGAGGTGATGGGCCTCCTTTTAGACTGCAAGTCTTAAAAAGTTTATGAGGCCATTCTCAGGGTCGCTAGATGGTGTGAGTAGGGTTCCCTAAGGCCAGCAGTCGCGTGCTGCAGCCCCGCTGTCCCTCACTCGGTGGCTGGGAGAGTGGGCAAAGGGCAGAGGGTAGAGGGTGGAGGCCAAACCTGAAACCTAGAAGCCCAGCTCTGCTGGGAAAGCAACAAGGAAGTGGGGCCACAGTGCAGCCAAAGGCTGCTGGGAGCTGTAAAAGGGAGCCGCTCCCCACTTTTATGGGGCAGGTTTGGGGCTGAGGCTGGACTTCGCCCAGACAAGGAGTGCTGGCGTCAGATGGGCCACGGGGCGTGGGCCCCAGATAAGAAGACTCAATAAAAAGACCATGGTCATGGGGGCCACGAGGATCTGGTGGGTTGGTATAGGTTGTCCCCCGATCCCCGCAAAAGGGCCAGGTAGGCAGAGCTCAGGTCTCCAATGGGTTCCCACCCCTTGTAACAGCAACTCCATGTGGAAGTGCCCACTGGTTCCAGTGGGGCTGCTGTTATCTGGGGTGGGGGCCAGGACCCACGCAGAAGAGGGGAGAGCTGCTGGCTGACCATGGGCCTCTCAAGGCCAAGGACTGAGGACAATGGCGGGCCGCCACGGCCGAGTGCACAGGGCTCTGACCTATGAATTGACAGCCAGTGCCTCGGCTCCCTCTGGCTGCCAATTCCATAGGTCACAGGTATGTTCGCCTCAATGCCAACCGCCAGGACCTGCGGGGACAGGGGCAGGGCGATGGGTGCCCTGCAGGCCACCTGGACCTCACTGCCCCAGGGTAGCACACAGCTAAGACCCCAACCCCCTCCTGCCCCATTCCTACCTTCCCACCTCCCCTCCTGCCATCCTGAACTGCTGGGAGGGCTCTGCGCATGCTGTTCCCTCTGCCGGGGAACCTCTCCCTGCTTTTTTGTCTGGCTACTCTTACTAAGCCTTCCGGACACTGCAGCCTCCAGGAAACCTTCCTGACTTGGGTCGAGCTGTCCTGGTTCCTCTGAGCACCCCACCTCCCCACACTCGATTCTACCCCAGCCCCAGCTCAGTTCCCAGCACGCTGTTTGCTGGATGGATCCTGACAATTCCTCTGGCACCTGAGGCTACCTGACCCCAGGGGACAGGGACAAGGACAGAGGATAGTGTCTCCCCTTCACCCCTCTGTCTCCGCACGTTCCCCGCGGTGGTGTGGGTCTCTCATACCAGGGGTGGCCTTGAACAAGTGGACAAGATGGGCCACTCATCCACCCCAGTCTTCCTCAGGAACCTCACTCCTGCCTGTACCTCAAGGACCAGGTTTCTGGGAAATTTTCCTGTCGATACGAACACCCCTATTACCACTTAAATGAAACTTGGAAACACAAATCCAGAAATAAAGTGCTTTTAATAAGAGGAGGTGGTTCTCAAGCCTTTTTGTGCGCTAGGTGCCCGCGTGTATCACCCACACCTTCTCACATCTTACTCTGTGGAGTCTGTGTGGGCGATGAACACGTAGCTCAGAGAGTGTGAGCATCTCACAAAAGTCACACAGCAAGCTGGGGACCTTTTCCCACTGAAGAATCCAGTGTGGCCCACAGTTGGCCAGCTCCCTGCCCCAGGCCCCTGTGACACTGTTTCCCAGTGTCCCTAGTGACAGCGGATTCCTGGCCATCACCACCGTCCTCCTGCTGAGGCCCAGCTCAGGTACCCCTCTCATGACCCTCCAGTGACCCTCCTCGGGCCTCTCCCACCATCTTTATCTCATCCCATGCAGCCCACAGGGCTTATCTTATCCTCCAGCTGCTCCCAGACGCCTTGAGATCGAAGTCCGTGACTCACTCATCTTTCCTGGCCCGGTGCCCACTGAATGTAGTAGGAGTTCAAGGTTTGCAGGTGGAATGGTGGGACTTGGACCTCAGGCCCTCTGGGGTCCTGTGTCTGCTGTCCAGCTGCAGGCCCAGACCCTACACTGGAGTCCTTCCTGGTCCTGCAAGGAAGCCTCTGCTATTCCAACCAGACATAAGGAAAGAACATACGGTGGTGCAGTGGTTAAGACAACTTGGCTGCTGAAGGGTCAGCAGTTTGAACCCCGGGCTGGCTCCATGGGCGAACGATGTGACAGCTTCCATAAAGGTGACAGTGTGGAAGCACGAGGCATGGTTGCAGCGGACTCCGTGGAAGTGGATGTGGGTTCTGTGGGTAAGGCAGGAGAGGGAGCTCAGGCAGCACCACAGTTAGGTTTGGCTGCTAACCAAAAGGTCCTTGGTTTGAATCCACCAGGTGCCTTGGGGGGAGGGAGACCTGGTGGCCTATCCTCAAAAAAATAACCACATACAGGGTGATTTCAGTCTGTCACAGGAGACGTTGAGTCAAAATTGACTCCAACAACTAGGAAGAGACTCAGGTAGGCCCGGTTCCCAGTGACACAGCCCCCTGACCTCCAATGACCTTGTGGCCTTCTCCAGAAGGCCCTAGGTACTTTCTAGACTAGATCCAACCCCACCATGTCCCAGCTGGCAAACTCCCTCCCTCGGGACACACATCCTCTTGCCTCCAGTCAGCTCTCCCACTCTGCACCTGCCAGCTCCCATGATGCTCTGCGACTTTGGTTCTGAAAACCAACCACTGACCGCTGCCCAGTTCCCAGGACCCTCCACGGGGTCTCTGGGGCTCAAAGGCTTCATGGAAGTGACGCTTCCTCTTCTCAAGAAGCAGCTGGTGGGTCCTGCTGCCAACCTCTCAGCCGGCCAGTACACGACACACCA